TAATTAAAGTACTATAGTATAAATAATTATGAATAGGTTACATTAAAGTATATTGAAAGATATCAAAGAATATTAAAAAATATCAAAGTATGTGAAAGAATATTAAAAGATATAAAAAGATATAAGAAGATATGAAAAAATATGAGAAGATATAGAAAGATGTGAGAAGATGTAAAAGAATATTAAAAAATATCAAAGAATAAGAAAAGATATTTAAGATTGTTATTCAAGTATAACTGTTTTACCAAAATTAAAAATAATCTTCTACTATACTATTTTACTATATATATAAATATCATATTACAAGATAATAAAAATGTAAATCCTGAATATTAAATAAGATATAATATTTAAAAATAGAAATATGATAATAAATAGTAATATATGATATAGAAATAGGGATATTTATAAAATAAATGAAAAATATAGAAATATGCAATTTTATATAACTAGATAAAGATTAAGAAATTAAGAAATTTTATGTCACTATGGTAACAATATATTATTATTTTGATTATATATTATTATTTTAATAATATATTATTATTATTATAATATATCATTATGATATATAGTATTATTATTATTAATATATAATTTATATATAATCATGTATTTATATATATCTATATGATATGTAATTATATACATAAATTATATATTATATATACAAAAAATATTTAAAATTCATTTTAATCTGAATTAATTTTTTATGTAATATATATAAATTATTGATAAAATATATATTTTACTAATTATAATTAGTAAAAAATTAAAATATATTATTATTTATGATTTTATTATATTTACAAATTTTTTTATTTATAAAATTTAAAAAGTAGATTTTTTTATTTTTTTAAAATATAATAGTTTTTATATAATATTTTTGAGACTTCATTTAATAATAAAAATCAATATATAAAATTCATTATTATATTTATTAAAATTAAATAATATATTTTATTTTTATTACTAAAACTTGAGATATTAGACTTCAAAGAGATTAAATATAAAATTCAAAATTAAAGTTTTAATAATAAAAATTAAATATAAAATTTATTATTTAATTTTTTAGATTTTATAAATTTAATAATATATTTTTATAACAGTATCTAGAGGCTCGTAACTATTGAAATTTTTGTGCCTGCAAGAGCAAATACCTTCCAAGTGTTGGCAAATGGATGATCCGAGATTGTGGAATTTTGGTTAGTTCAGGCGATAGGACAATAGTAATACATGTAATGATTTTTAATAACACATTACTAATTAGGGATACAAGAATTAAGACCGTTCAGAATTTTCGTAATCACGGGACTTTTCGTTGCGACAACAACAGTATGATGGAAAATTTATATAGTCTTATAGTTTTATTGACGACTTGAGACTATTATTAAGTCACAGTTCTATATTCAAATATCATGGGAATCATTGGAAGTGCTTCAAATAAGTAATTAAATATTAGCAGATTCAAGTGGAACCCACTCTAGGACCATTTTAACAGATCTAGTTCTCGATTAAATTCATGAGGAAACCTTTTGTGTTTAACTAAATTTCTTTTATTATATATTATTTACACTAAATTTTTTTATTTCTTCATATTTATTGCCAAATAATATCGTAAGCTTCAACTATGCGACGCATAATCGGGGTTCGAACTCGCCAAAAAGTATCGGATTATCAAAATGATTGTAGTGGAATTTACTTAGGACGCTTTAGTGCCTTCAGAAACCGCGTGTTTCGACAGTTCCCCTGGTAGAAGAAGAGGCAGCGCGTTTGATATAGTAAAGAGCCAAAATACCAAGATCAAAGCAATCTCGATGAGCTTTTGGTAGAAAGTCATAATAAAAAGAGTTTTAATGTATGCTTTTTTGAACTTGATTTTAAAAAACGAAAACAAAATTTGGTAAGAGAAATCGAGTATATTTATAAGAAATTTCAATTTTAGATGTACTGTAAATGTACATGTATAAGTTAGATAACATGATAGGACACAACAAAATCTGTATGATTACAATAACAACAACCAAATGATATTTTCAACCCATTTAAAACTAAAAGAAGTAAAATTCATACAAATCAGAAATCTAAAATAGAAGTATATGACAGTATAAAAATCGCTTTTTAAAGGTTAGAAAAACTGGTTTATCTATTTATTTACCTGATAATGAAAATTACCAATTTAATATTTGGTTAATCTCTAAACATATGATAATACATGTACAGAGACACATTATAACAGACTCTATTCTATAGTGGATTGAGGTCCAGAACAGTCTATAGTGGATCACCGATATTGGATTCATTAATACAACGGATTTTTTGAAAATTTTTCACTAACGCTAATGAACTGACCAATCCGTTATATTGACTTTGACTGTGTATTTTTGTGAAGATAAAAATTTCCATAATAGCATTCTTTATTCTTTATAACGATAAAGTTAACTACATAAATAAAATATCAGACCCTTCAAAATATTTTGTCGAATTGTTTTGTTTATTAATTTCAATGAAACTTATATGTACATGTGCATTAAAATTGAATATTTGCAACGAAAACGATTATCTCGTTTGTTTTTATATCAATATAATATAAACTCAATAAACGTATGATAAATTTTCTAACGGATTATAAAGATAGCCTAAATTAATAACGAGAAAATGTATATCAAATCTTCACGTTCTCCTTATCGTTAAATTTATCCCATTCTTCAGTTGATTTGTAAAAGCTCCTTTTGCAAGAAATTCAACATTGGTAAATCTTTGAAAAAGAAATATTTTACTTTACCTTTTTTTCGAATTAGACATCTATAAAGGAGTACGATCAACGATACTACATAATGTTTCGGATAATGCAAATTTATTATTGAAAAATGTTGGAATCCAACCAAACCAACTTCTGAAGAGCTTGAAGGCTTTAAACTTTATCTTCTTTGGAAACCGAATATTTTGTATTTTACTACTTTATAAAATACATAAAGAACTTGAAGAGTTTCTGAGAATAAATAAACGGAAACTAAACTATATGAGATGGAACAAAATGGATTTATACGAATATAAACAAAAAATACCCAATTTTTACCAGTCGAATTATTATTTCAAAATTAAATATCAATCCCAACTGATTTGATTTAACATATTTAAATTCTACAAGCGTGATTTATATGTTCTAAATGAAGGCAAATTCACTATTTTTTTCAAAAAAAAAATCAATATCAAAATACTGCCGTTCTTGGATCAGTTTTAATTGAACTTAATTTCAAATTTCATAAGAGTACGTAAATTTTTGATCGACCTGGCATAATCGCGCACTCATGAAAGCCATCTAAAAACGCGAAAACCACGCGATTTACTGTCAGACACTAGATCGGCAGAGTTGTATTGTTACGTGTGGGAATATTTAGTGTTTAATTACGGGATTTTTGATCTATAAGGAATTGGAGAGTATATATTTGTGGAGAGTCTGTAGTTCTGGTTCCTGTACCGATATCTACAGATATCGTGGTATGTAATGAGTGATATTGGTAATAACTCTGCGTGTTCTTTCTGCTGTTTCCGATTCTAACTATAACGTTTGCTTTTTCTAGATAAAAGCCTTAAACTTTCCGTTTCATAATTACGTTACTTTTCTGAATTAAAGGTCTTAACCTTCCAATATTCGTTAATGATGATTTTTCTAGCGTAAAGATCCTAGCCAACAAACAGATTAACGGTTATCAAGCAAAGAAGGGAGAATCGTACACGATTCTTGCTGAGTTTTAGTAAGCAGTCGTTTGGAGTTTATATAAACTCCAAACGACTTAGATTAGACTATTATAGTCTCATTTGTGACGATGGAGTCATATGTGCGTCGTCATTCGAGTGACGATTAGATTACAAGTCTGTCGTCACACTTGGATATCCCACGACCTATAAAAAATATGACGACAAATTTGCATTCATGTCGTCACACTTGGATATCCCACGACCTATAAAAATATGACGATTGTGGCTGATTTATGTCGTCAGATCACATGCAATATAATGTATGCCGGCTTAGTAGTCATGGCCGATTTCTGTTGCTAGGCCACATGGGCAAAAAAATATATATCTGACGATGTATCCAATTATATATCGTCATTTGTGGGCCTGATGTGAGGGCTATGCCCGAACTGGACACGTAGTGCCCTAGCTTTCTGGTTAATTCCTCGATGAGGGCCAGGTTTGAGGCACGTAGTGTTGAAGTAGTATTCGTATCCTAGTTTTGTATGTTGCACTCAAATATTGATCGAGAATGAGGCACGTAGTTCTGAATCGTTAACTACATATCTGGTAATACACCAAAGCATCTGATGATAGCACATAGTGCCAAATTGTTATCTATTATATTACCCGAGGATGAGGCATGCAATGCTGAATTGTTATCCCTATTTGGTATCCCACCAAAGCATCTGATGATGAAGCATGTAGTGCTGAATTGTTAACAATTGTTAGCTTCACATAATTCATTCAAACACTTGAGAATGAGGCACATAGTGCCAAATTGCCAACTATTATAATGCACTCAAATATTGATCAAGAATGAGGTACATAGTGCCAAATTATTAGCAGTTGTTAGCTTTGTATAATTCATTCAAATATTACCTGAGAATGAGACATGTAATGCCAAATTGTTATTATATCTGTTAATATTCCAAAGCATAATTTTATATATTATATATCTTTCTATAATAATTATACCTTGGAATATCACTTTTTTTTTTATACCTATTTATATGTAATCCCAAAGCATAATCTTATATATATCTATATTTTTATAATAATTATACCTTGGGATAATATCTTTTTTCAGTCTTATGCTGATATCTAAATCATACTTTTTATATATTTTGAGATATCATTATATTGAAAACTTTGAGATAACACTATAGAAAACTTTAGAATAATACTATATCAAAACTTTGAGATAATACTATAGAAAACTTTGGAATAATACTATATCAAGTACTTTAGAATATCATTATCAAATATGTTTCAAAAAATATGAATACTATTTATAATCAGAAAATGAAACCTGAAGTATTACTAATTTGAAAACTTTGAAATATCACTTTTCAATATCTTGAAGTATCATTTTTATTAATATCTAAATTAGGCAACATGAAAATAGTTATTGAATATATATCTTATATATTAGAAGTACTTATCTGAAATTTATTTTAATCTAAATCATATAACACAAAAATTCTGTTCATTCACAAGTTCATATTTAGATATATATAGCTAATTTATTTATTATATATATTATTTAATTTTTTCTGGCTTATTGTAAAATAATAATATTAACATACTTGAACAGATACTGTAAAAAGATAGAATATCAAATATTAATTTTTTGATTTGAATTTTTCTGCATATTCATTGTAAGAGATGACAAAAATCCTCTATCTGAGATAAATAACTAGTTAAATATAGCAATCTCTCTGCTTCAGAAATTATTACTAAAACTAGATAATATTATCTTAGTATCTTATGCTTACTTTATTAAAAGATTTATAATAATTATGCATATTCAATGATTATTAGAGATTTATTTTTCAATTTTTTTTTATGTAAAATAGTAGAAACTTTTATTTTAGTCTCAAAATTTTATTTGTATTCCAGAAAAGTGATCTTGTTCATACTCTTGTACTCTTTTTTCCAATAATTATTATTATCCTGCATTTTGAAGGTAATCTTAATTCTTCACTGTTTTAGTTTTTCTTGAGACATTTGAAATTTTTGCTATAAAAAAAGAATAAGAATATCTATATTAGATTTGTTTTTAATGAGAAACTTTGAAAATAAAGAAATTAAGGAGTCAAATATCTCTTTTTTAATTTCAATAATATTTAAAAATTGTTTAGAAATATTCAATAGATTTTGAGTTGATATCAAAGAGAACAATTATAATAAATTTATCTCAGATTTCTCAACTATATTATTACAAGAACTTTGTTTACAAATCTCATTACTAATTTTTAAAATGGTGATATTAGTAGTAATAGATATAGAATTAAAAAATTCTTGAGTTTTATTAACTGATTTAGGTTTATATAATAGAAAAATTAAAACTTTAGAATGATAATTAGAATTATTTAATTTTATAACTATTATTCTTTCTATAATTTTAAATCTAGTACCATTAGACAGAATGTAATAAATCCAATAAGTATACTTCTATACTTATTAATCTTTTAATTCTGAAAGCTTTTGCTCACTTTTGATAGTATAATTATATTAATTACTTAATATTACATTAATAAATTTTATTATAGCATTAAGATCTGATATTCCTTTAGCTCTGGTCTTAAAATTAAAAAGTAATAATATATCTTCTTGAATTTTAATGATTTTTTTCTGTAATTACTCAAAAGTTCTAGCTACATTATCATTAGAAAGAATATTTGTATCATCTATATCACTAAAATCTATTGATTAGACAAGATTATATACTGCTTTTCATTACTTAACTAAATAAAATTTATGTAAATTAACTGAAAATGGATTCATAGATTCATGTGAATCTTTTCATTATATTTCTTCTTTGATTTTTAGATTTTCTATAAAATTTATTATATTAGAATCTTGTCTTCTGAAATATGTCAGCCTTCTAAAATATTATAAAGATTTAGAA